TTTTACGCAAAATCTATTTTCGAAAAAAATTTTGGTTTTTGGTGTAACTTTAAAACAAATGACGGTAGATACATGAAATTTTCACTGAATGTTTATATTAGCATTTTCTATATACGATAACATTTTCAAAATGTTTTGATTTATTTTGAACTGTTTTGGCACATTTGAATTTTCCATATTGTTTTAGTTTTTTTTTTAATATCAATAAATTTTATTCGTTGGTTAAAAAAGCTTGAAAATTAAATACAAGGCTCCTACTATATTGTTACAATGACATTTTAAAAATATTAATAATCCTTAGTCACAGTTTTTTTTTCTAAGCATTTAAACTTCAAAAATTGACAAAATATGGAAAAATCACGAAAATTAGCAAATTATTTTGAGTTAAGAATTCGTAAGAATTTTCCTTTTTAAATCTAAGGTTTTAAAATGTAATACAAGATTCCTTATAAGATTATCTAAATTTATCAAAAAAAAATGTCTATAAGAAAGTCAAATTAAATTTTTATGAGCGTTTGAAATTCAAATTTTTACAACATTGGATATTCACTCGATTTCTCATGTAGTAATTTCCTTATTTTGTTGTAATTCAAAAACGAATAACTGTAGATACATGAAAATTTCATTGAATGTTTATATTAGCATTTGCTAATACATGTGCCATACAAGTTTGAAAATATTTTGAGTCTTTTTGAGCTGTTTGCGGACAATTACAGTTTTCAATTTTTTTAGTTTTTTATACTATAAATATCAATAAAGTTTTATCTGTTGGGCTAAAACGTGTAAAAATTTAATGCAAGGCTACTGATATATTGTTACAATATCAGTTGAAAAATATTAAAAATACATAGTCACAATTTTCTTTTACAAGGATTTAAAGATCGAATTTTGACAAAATTTATCAAAATCTCGAAAATTATCAATCATAATATCATCAAAATAGTTCATTCTGTAACCAAAAAATCTAAAAAATATGTGATCACAGTTATTTTTTACAGTCATTTTAAATTCAAATTTGGGCGAAATTATCAAATTAAAAATTGAATAATTATTTTGTAGTTAAAAATGTATAAAATGTTCAACTTTTATATCTAAGGATGGAAAATTTAAAACAAGATTCCAAGTAAGTAGTTAATTCTATTACCAAAAAATCTAAAAAATACATACCCGCAGTTTATTTTTATAGTCATTTTAAGTTCAAATTTGGATGATATTACATAATAAAAAACATAGAATAACTATTTTAGTTATTTTGTTGTGAGTTTATAATATTATTCGTGGGTACTTGAAACTTCTAAAGTACACTATCATATATCTATGATAGTATCGGGGTTTGTTGTTGATGTATAACACATTATGAGTACCTAATGGATATTGTGATATGATTAATTTGGAATTTATTATAGTTACCTATTATAGGTCAATTTTTTTTAATACCATAGATAAGTATATAATATGTCTTATACCTAGACTGACACACCGTCTCCGCTCAGAATCGTTTTTCTTATACAATGATATTATATCATTGAATTCAAATTCAATACTATCCATTATACAGTGACCCACTTGTAACCTACTGTACAGCAGAACACCTTTTTTTAAAATTAATATCAAAAATTATACTTTTGAACAAAAATTTAGTTGTACTTCTATTAATTGATTCTAAAACCTATTTTCTATACCTAATAACCATTAATTATGTTTACTCAAAATAGTAATAATATTATAATAGTATTTATAACTAATGCTAATACATATATTATTATTATTGGTTCTTGGCAATCATTAACAAATTAATTGTATTTTAAACTAGAATTTTTTAATTTTTCATAGTTATTTATAATTCATAAAAATAGGTAAGCACTAAGTAATAATTTTGTTGGTTTTTATAACCCTCGATTCTTTATGCCTTTCATATTTTTCAAAACACCACAAAGTATAAGTATAGTTACTCCTGCAAGTTTTTGCCCGTACCTCACGCACTTCAAAATTGTCTTTAAATACGACTTACACTTATATATTATTATATTATAAAAATAATTTGAATTTTTATAATTTTATTTGGCAATGTTATATTATTCATTAAGAGGGTGCTACACTCGCATGCGTTCTTTTCTCCTACAAGCACATAACATAACAAATTGTATGCTATCAGATCAAGTTTAGCTCTGTTAATTTAAAAATTAGAATGAATTGACCTCTTATAATTCAATGGTGAGATTATTATCTAGTGAATCTTACAGGTTTTTTTTTATACTTTAATTTTAAAGCAAATTATCAGTATTTTAAAACTGTAAATTCTTTGTGCATTTTAAAATAATCTATTAAAATCTAATATTCATCTCCATTTATATGATAACTCTGTATTTAACAATCGGATTTTTCTAGTTATTGCACCAAACGAAGCAGTTTTTTTCTTCTTAATAATGTGCAATTAAAAACTAATTTTTACCAAAATATGGAGATGTCTTGATGTTGCTCCAAAGTCTCTCAACAAGAACAAGTGACAAGGGTCAGGGTTAAAAAAAATTGTAGTAAAAAAAGAAATATAATCCACAAGATTAACAAAATTGTCAAAAGTTACAACATTCATTTTAAATAATTCAATAAAGGATTCAACCATAAACCAATACCAAATTGACTTCACATATAATAATTTTTGAATTTTTAGTTAGGGTATTTCTGTGACAGGTAACTTAGAGGTGAAATTTGACGAAACAACTTGAAATTTGACATAGAGTTGAATGGGGATATTATAATGACACTTGTTTGGCCACATTATGGCCACTATTTCCCCAATTTAGTAAATCAGCAATTCAGAAGTTTAGAAAACTAGACCAACCATATTTTATAGACACAGACATTTCCAAATACATTTTGTTTGGAAAAAATTATTTTAACCTACTGTAGTATTTATAGTAAAATAAAATACTTTAATAGTAATTATATAAATTTTATTTAGTAATATAGATTATAGGCTGACTGCAGAGTCTTAACTCTATAGATACTAATATGTTATACTTACTCAGTATAGAAATTATTTAAACACATATATTTGTTTCTTGAATCAAGGCAACACCATTGCTATGTTAAGTGTATTTAATTATTTTGTGCTTAAATTAATTGACAAACCATATTTTAATTACTTTTATTCACTTAGGTATTTTTGTCTTTTTTTCAAAAACAAAATAATCTGGTAAATTATATATTGTGTACAATTTTATTGATAATAATATATAGGTATTTATTTTATTATTTTTTTTTAAGGCTTTGACAACTAAGGTTAATAGACTAGTGTTTACTTTCAGATTAGGTTTTGTGACCATAGGCGTGAGCACAGGGCGTGTCGGTCAAGCCCAGATATTATAATGCTTATAATATGTATTATAATAATATGTTCGTGGAGGTCATGGAAATTTTCTTTGTCGTGAATGTATAATAAAATCAAAAATATTTGTGTGTACCTACCACTACATACATTTTATTAATCCAACAAAAATATTATACAAACATTATACCTTTATACAAATACAATAACTATAGGTAGTACTATATGTAGACATTAATAGGTTAATACATCAATATGTATGAAAAAAAAATTAGGGGCGTTGTCCAAATATTAGGGCACTATAATTGCCTAGGCTCGATCAGAAATTTAAGTCTGGGCACGCCTATGTTTGAGACTGATTGCAACCACCGAGCCACAATAATAATAATATATATTTAATATTTTGAGGTTTGATTTTAATGATAAATATGCAATTTAATAGGAAATTATAAATACTTATAATACTTCTATACATATAAGTAAAAATGTACAGTATTAACTATGAGTATTGATTATAAAAATATGCTATTAGGTATAAACTATCTGTTTGAACATAATAATATAATAATATATAAAATAACAAATTTGGATAATGATAATAAGTTTTAGTCCCTAGGGCCTCGACAAAATTAAAATCATAAGCTAAATTTAAGTAATTGTAATGACGAGAAGTGACTGGTTTGGGTTTTGTTTTTTATTCAAAAATTAAAATACTTTTCAGATAATAGTTTGTTTACAATGTTATAACATACTTTATTAAATATTTTATTTTATATTATACCTATTTTATCTCTAATTTTTGTTTTTTCTGCAAAAATCCAAAGGCTGAGATAATCGTTCACTTTGAACCAGTCGGCTGTTACAGATGGTGTAAGATCCCCTTTCATGACTTTTCTTGTCATCTTGTTAATGGGAATTTCAAACATTGAATGATAAAGTATTTTTGTACCAGACACAACTTCAACCTCTAATTGAAATCAATAACATATTAAAAAGTTCACAGTTCAAGCAAATACCTACTATAAATTATAATATTTGGTTTAATTGTAAACCACACTACTCCAAAGAATGATTTAAGATCGTGCTCCACGGTGCAGAGATATCACAGATTTTAGTCCGTGGCAGAGCCAAATTTTCTTATCAAGTACTTATCTAGTTATCAAATTAAATAGTTTATTATCTATAAACCTTGGCATGTGATACTCGGTAACTGTTACTCTTTTTTAATATGAAGTGATACGGCGACCAAGGTTATCAAGGAGTATATGCGCATATTGAATCTCCGATTCATATATAATAATTTTTATCACGTAATGATTACAATTTACAATAATTATTCAATAATCGAGATTTCAGATTAGTGCTTCGGTAGTCGTGACCATTAAGAAATTCGGGCTTGGTTAAACTTAATTTCTTATTTTTTTCCTATTTATTAATGTATTACTGTTTTTTATTGTTACCTATTTAGTTTCGTAAAATCGCGTCCGAAATATAAAACCAAATTTCATTGCCCTTTTTATTCTCCCGTGCATCTTCAGTTTTAGTTGTATGTGACATGTCCGTTCTGAAATTATAGTAGGTTAGTAAGTACCTGCTTAATTAGCGGGCCGAATATATTATATTAAATAATAATAATAATAATAATAATAATTATTATAATATTCCAGTTGAGATGTCTGATGACATACCACCTCTGATACCAGAAACTCCACCTCCCATGACCAAATTAGACTGGGAAGATGATGAGGATTTTATGGACTATCCGCATTTGGCCTTAGAACTGCCGTCCGAGTCTAGTTTAAGTAAGTATTCAAAATTACAGGTGTATGTGTTAAGACTAACATAACATTTTGTATGCATAAAGGTCCAGATGGTGGGTGGAATCCTATTGACGAATTATCACTTCCTTATGATGGCGATGTCGTTCATGAAACAGCGGTTTGTATTGAAGCAAACACCAATGAAAGTTTGTCGAATCAGCCGTCAAGTATTGCAAAGAATGTCCTATCTATGGAATCATCATTATCTGAACAAGAGCCTAGTTTACATCAAAACAACTTATCCATATGGAAAGATAAAAAAGATGTGCCTTGGGAAAATATAAAGAAATTAACGTCCAATGACAGTTGTGATAATGTCAATGAAATAGACTGTAATACAGAGATCAAACACAATGAATCCTCTGAAAATGTAATAGATAATAATAGGAAAATAATTAATGATGACTTGACTTTAACTTCTGAACAATATATTTGTGACTTAGCAAATGAAAAAAATAATATAATACCAAAACATTTACCAAATTTAGTACTTCAATTAAATAACTATGAAGTATATGAAAATAATGAGATTTATCAATCTAAAACCAATGCTAATAATGAAAAATCAACTGGCCAAAATATCTTGATTAATGGTCATTTAGAATGTGTAGATATTGAAGAATCATCCAATCATACCAACTGTGTTCAAAATGTTTTATTAGACAATTTAAAAAATGAAGTAAGTGATACTGATACGCCTAATGGTATGTATGCAATGTTAGTTGATAATTTATCAATTAATAATAATAATAATATTATGATTAAAAATGATCAAGAAGAGTATACAGAGTTCTGTGATTTTGAAACTGATTTGCCTCATTCTTTAAATGTGCCTTTACCAAACAGAACATCACAAGAACATCACAAAATTATTGAAGATCCTCAAACTGTTGATCAACATGATTTTGATAAAATACCTTTAACACAGTTTAATGACGAACACTGTAAAATATTGAAAAATATTTCTATATTAGTGGAGAATAAAATAGAACAAAATGTAGAATCAATTAATTCTAATTGTTCAACATTTCAATGTAATGAAATTAATGTTGAGCATAATTCAGATTCTGAATTTGATGAATTTTCTGACTTTCATGTATTTCCAACTTCAACTACCAAAAAAAAATCAATATGTGATACAAATTATGATGATGATTTCTGTACATATGAAACTTGCAGACAAGATTTTAATGACACAGTAGAGTTAAAACATTCCAATGTTGAACAAGTGAAATGTGTAATCAGTAATGATTCAATATTGAAATCTGAGAACCAAAATAGTATAATTGACAATGATGATGATGATGATGATAATGAAAATTTCTGTGATTTTGAATCTGGTTACACTACAACTGGTCTTCATACAAGTGAACAAGTTATAGATTTAAAACAAAGTTATGCAATATTAGATTCAGAATCCCGCGTTCAACTTGATTATAAACAATTTTGTAAGGACGCTTTTCAAGGAGATTATGTAAGCTTTTTTTTTTTATTAATTATCTGTTTATTTATATTTATTTTTCTAATATTATTTATTATTCATTAGGAGTTATGTGAGGAAGCTGATTTGCAAAACTTAGATAATGAGTTAAATGAGTCTCAAGTTTGGCAGAGTTTAAAAGATGTAGACTCAAGTCCAGCCCTCAACTATAATTGGACCAAATCGGAATCAAATAATGTTTTTCTTGCTTCACTCTCGATTGATTCTAGGAACATAGTAAGATCAACACAAAATTGTATAAATGACTTAATTGTAAATATTTGGGGTTTTTTTTTTATTAATATTGGATTTAAATATGGCAGTTGTATGGTGCTTCTTGGAACCCAAAAGTCCCTAGATTCGCCGCAAATATGTCTAACAATCCATTGGAACCATTAAAAGCTTCTAACAATGACACAACTGATACAAAAATATCGCAATCTTTTTCCAATGGTCCAATGCAGGTGAATTTAATTTCACTTTCTTAATAAACTTAATATCCTTAAAGCTCTAAACAATTTTTTTATATATTATAATGAAGGATACAGTACCGGACCCTGAATTCGACTGGAAAAGCAGTGGTTTAATAAATCCATTGGACTGTAAGTATTCCATAGATGTCTTAAATCCATAGTAAATTCTACAGTCTATCAATCTGTTACATAATATTTTTTTTTTGAAAATTTAATTTAAAAATATTATAAATTCATTAATAATTATAAACTAGTATTTGTTTTATAACAGATCTCAGATCTTTTTAAATTTGATTTTTTTTTTTAACTACATATTATCTAGTCACTTAATTTTTCTTAAGTTTTAATATTGGATAAACATAAAATAAAGGAACTGGACAAATGTAAAATATCTTGCACATTCCTGGGACCAAATCCAAAAAACAACCAGAACTTAAACTAAAAAAAAATTATATTAATAATAGACCATAATTAGGTACATAGTACTTTATTAGTTTTAAATTAATATCTCATCTTGTAACTTATAATTAACAGTACTATAGAGTATAGATAACCCATGCAATAATTTTGCACATTTCAATGCTATTTCTTAGTATTTGTTACTCACATTCCTAAGTTTTCTTTTAATTTTAAATAAAATAACAAGACCTCTCTATTTTTGTTAGGGTATATCAAACCATAGATTAAATAATACTATAATACTATGGATAACACTATAGAATGTAATTATTTATCGCTCTTTATTTTAATTCAGATTTGATTCTCTGGTGGCGAATGGTGGCAGGAAACGAGTAGATGCCTATTTCCCACCTTCCACCGCTATTCACTATAGTGAGTCAAATCAAAATTAAAATATTGAGCAAAATATGATTGCATTGTCATTAGTGTCTGTAGTTTGTCTATTTCTATTTTGTGTATTCGACTATGATCAAAATTACACTATAAATATAACATATCACTTTTAAACATGAAAAAAAATAATGAATTATAAATATATTATATCATATATAGATATTTTATTTTGTTAATTAATATATTAATTTTGAATATAAAATTTATATTGATTATTTTATTATCAAGTATACATTTGAATTATATTTTTTTGGTTTTGAATAATTCTAAACAAAATAATTAAAACTAATACTAACAAATCATATACCATATTATTTAACTATTATAAATTGTAATTAATTGTGAGTAGACACCTGAAAAGACAAATCAAGTTTTTTTTTACATTATTAACTACATTTCATAAGGGATTAATATTAGGTAACAAAAAACTATCAAAATAACAACTCTTACAATCATTTAAATATAAATTATGTGTTTGGAATTTCTTTCTTGTCTATATAATGTAGCATTTAATAAATGGGGATAATTATTAACCATAGCATATTATTCATATTAGTTAGTAATTTGACGTTTTCTGCATACCACTTTTGTTACTTAAAATAAGTTGCAACGGATTACAGATAGATGTTAACAATTTGTATTTAAATACATTTTTAATTATCTAATAATATGCAATTTTTGAATGTTCATGTAATTATGATATATCACATAACTCTGAACCATGATTAAATATTAAAGCAATATATGTTATCATAAATTAATAATTATTAAATTACTTTTATAACTACATTTTTATTCAGTGAATTTTGCTATGGTAAGAGTTGTCTAATTTTATCATTAAACATACATACTGAATTATTAAAAATAAGTAAGCATTTAAAACATTATATTTATCCTTTTTCTAGCCACAAGATATAATAGATGGAAATTAATAAATCATTCTAAATTAACGGCATTGGTAAACACTTTTATTAAGATAAAGAGAGTTGTATTTTCGGTTGTTCATTATCTTTTTTTGTATATTTTATACGTTTAAAAAATTATTTTCCCATATATAGGATGAATTTATAAGCGTTCAATAATATATATGGGATAATCCATTTAACTTAAGACTCATTATATTTTCAGAATATACTTATGTATTTGAATATATTTCTTTTACATAATTTTTAAATTGTTACAAACAACATTTTTTACTGTTTTTATTGTTGCAACTTTTAAATATTTGTACACTTTTGAATGACTACATATGTTTTCAATTTTACATTCTAAAGCAAAATATTAATCCGAGTATATAGTCTATAAAAATCAAATTTCGGTCAAATAAATTATTAATTATAACTTATAAGAGTTTAAAGTTTTTATGATTAGAGTAGTGCACCAAAATGTAGTGGGATATTCCTATACCACACTTATCCGCTCATCTAAGGTTTAAATACTTATAAGTTATAACGCATGAACTAATTGTTCAAAATTTGATTTTTATGTATTAAAGTAATTCAAAGAATACTTCAAAATACATAATTAAAAATTCATGTTGTCACTAAAAACAGTAAAACATTTGTATAATATTTTAAATAGGTATTGTTTATTAATGACTTAATATTGTGTAAAAAAAATACTTTCTAAGATATAAATATTTCTTGAAATATGAGTATTTTACGTCAAATGGATCACCTGGTATGTAATGTTTACAATATGTAAATTATAAAAATGTCTGTACACTGAGCTTTTTATCAATAAGTTTTATGTGTAAAGTATATGATATGTTTACAATTGTAGTGTGTATCTTATGGTTTTGTTCATACAATTATTTTTTGGCATCTCAGTAAATTTTCTCTGTGTGAACAAAGTATAATTTTCTAATTGTATATGACTACAAGTCCTATTCAAGTATCAAGACAAATTCCATAATCATTACTTATTACAAATTTCATTGTCTAATGTCCAAATAATGTACCAAAAAATATAATATCCGAATCCATATACACATGACAGCCAACATGTTATCTCTTAAGAGGACACCACACCCGCATGTGTTGTATCCGTCTTAAAAATGTGTAAAATGCAAAATTTATGCTTAGAAATTCACTTTTTATGCCGTTAGCTTGAAAATTAGAGTGAATCAACCTATTATTTGAAGCTTGATGTTAAGAACATTATCTGTGTTTTGTTGGAAGTTTTTGTAGGATAATTCGGTATTTAAGTGAGTTATGCGTGTAGAATAAATGTAAATTAAAAATGCTCATAACTCCCTTAAAAATTAAATTATCATGAAAACTTCCAATAAAACACAGGTAATGTTCTTACCATAAAGTTTCATAAAAGGTTTGATTCACTCTAATTTTCAAGCTCACGGCATCAAACGTGAATTTCTGAGCTTAAATTTGGTATGTTACACGGTTTTAAGACGGATACAACACATGCAGGTCCTCTTAAGAATTCACATTTTAAGTATTTATTTTTGTTTCCAATTATATTTTTTTCAATTCAGTTAGATATGAAACAGTATTAATTTAAATTTTTGAATTTTTCATATTTTATAAATTAATTTGGTCAAATACATTGTTCAACATTTGTGATACAGATAAACAATTAATTAAAATAGTTTAACATTTGTTATATAGCCAAGATATTTTTAACTTTTGTCTTATGTAATATGAAATCCAGTTTCTTATGTCAAGCTAACTTATTAATATCTACCACCATTTGTGTTGAAAAATGAAATAACGGTAGTTAATCTGTTTTTACTAAAAATATACAAATATTTTAAATTGTTATTTGATAATCTGATAATTTATCTGACACAAATGCTTTTTACTAAATTAATTGCCTTTTTATCATGCTTAAAATAATTGTTAACTGGTGGTGGAGCTAAACATGCATTTATTGTGGGCTAATTAGGTAATCATACGTCGCTACTCGATCTTGAACTCCTTGATACACTTGCACCATGCTGTACAAATGCTCGTGAGTATTTCTGTTTTTGCTTAATGTGTAATAATTTGTAACAAAATAATGTTGTTAAGAAGATGCTATACCAGTATGTGTTGTTTCTGTCTTACAAAATATAAAATATACCAAGTGCAGAACTAATTTTATGTTGCTATTTTTAATACAGGAGTTAATTGACCTATTATCATACTTTAAGGTGATAACATAATCTGTGTCATAGATATTTTTTTATATAATTTTAATTTAAATAAGTTATTCACATTTTGTAAGTCGTATATTATTTAAATATTATTTCATGTACTCAAATCTTGTTTAACAATTTTAATGTCATAAAACACCAACATACAAATACTGATAATGTTATTACTTTTTACCTTTTACATGTGTTGTGGGTGGCCATCCTGCAATGTTCAATTTCTATACTTTTATGCCACCCGTCATCAATAGTTAATCATTACTACCACGCCATATGACTGCCGCAACAGTAAATTAATATGGTTTTATATTATTAACTTATAGATAGTTCTACAATAATGTACTAAAATATACGCAGTGGCGTTGTAGGAACCCTTACAATATTTTGATGTAATAAAAATATTTTTTTTTATTATATTTTATATTCTTAAATACAATAGCATATACAAAAATGGAATAATTTGGAAAAACATGCCTGGCGTATCAATAATACAATATTGTATGGCTGCCCAAATGATGGTTAGATAATTGATCATTTCACTTCAATATTAAAGCTAACAACATAAAAATACAAATGTAATATGTTGTATATTTCTAAGATGGACTCAACATGTGTGGGTATTCTATGCATTTATGCATTGCTTTGCTGTTATGTTAAATGTTCTTAAACTTAGAAACTGAGGTAATTTATTTTGTAATAGTTGTTATGGTACCATTTTCATGAATTATTATCATTTTTAGTATATTAATAATATATAATTATAATTTAAATAATAAGATAAATGTTTTAATTGTAAATATAATGTTACAATTATTATGAGTGTTATCATTTATTGTTATTATTATAATTATATAAGTAACAAAATAATTATGAAAGATACATTTTTACCAACCTATTGTTATATAGGTACAAAATTGTAATTATACCTTATATACTATTATTATATAAATTGCTTCAATTATTTTAAAAAGTGTACATTTGCATAATATTGTTATTTGTTATAGAGTTTTATTAAATTCATAGCGTTCTTAATTCTTATGTCTTATTTTGGTTTTCATACATGAAACATATTCTTGTATACATTTCAATAATATTGTGAAAATGTACATAAATAATTATAAAACATACCTTGATACTAACATTTGCATATTATTTTGAGAATTACATGAGTTATACATTTACTCCCAAACATAAATTAAATATTTTAATATTTATAATTTTTTTTTTTAATAAACAATATAATTAATAACAGTTTTCTTGTCACATCTGTACTTCATTCGAATATTTTAATATTCTGATTTGTGTTACTTAACTTTAGTTCAGCCTCAAACATGGAAAACATCTGAGGTTGTGAAAGAAGAAGACACAGCCTTCCAAAGTAGTCCTGAAAGTATAGATGTGTTCGATGAGTTTTTCAGTGCATCACTACCGTCATCATCAGACAATCAATCAATAGACACCATTGAAAGTCCAAGTTCTCTCATAGCAACAGTGAGTCATGAAGCACAAAGAATTTTGGATAATTTGCCTGATTTCAAGGTATTGCAAAAACCTTATTTAGTAATATTAGAAAAAGAAAACAATTTATTTCTGAATTAATTTTTTTTTATAATCAATATTATATAAGAATGCTAGATCACTGCAGCAAGAAAGAATATCTTGTATTTTTTCTTGTTCAAATCAAGTCCATTATGTGCAATAAGTTAAACTAATCTGTCCAAACTATTTTCATTTGTAAATTAATTTAAATAATCACTTATCATTAATCTATGTATTCCTGTTAGTTTATTGATTTTATCATAAAAAAAAATTATCATTATTTCCAATATTTTTAAAGGATTTTCATCTTCATAATAATTTGGGTTTTATTTCGTAGAAAAATTTGTTTTTATGTTCTTAACTATATTTATTAATTAGATGCTGTCTAAGTTATAAAAGTTAAAACTTGATTGAATTAAAACTAATGCATGACAAAAATTCAAACCTGCTTTAAATTCCAAAATCATTAGAAATATTTAACTACTAAATAATAATTTATTGTATAGTTTCTAGTCTATGTTTAGCATGCAAGACCATATTTGGTATTTTATACTTACTTATTCATTCAATATACAGAGTTCTATAAATTGTATTTAAATTTAAATAAAATATAAGTTACCTGTTTTTAAATGTAGTGGGCGATTCCAATTACATTAATTTTTTTTTTTGATTAGTTGGCTATCATTTCATCATTGTTTTATATAATATATAATCATATTCTACAGCATATTTTCTGAAACTATCTGAATTTCTTCATAAATCTATTATTCATTTAAGTCTCAACACATTTGTTATCATGAACATGCATTTTAAAAAATACCCTTAGTTAAATAAAAAACAGATAAATATTGATATACCTCAATCATTAAATGAAGTTATGACTACCTGAAAATTACAGATTGTATATCTGGCTATTACCTATGTATTGATCATTGTTTTTTTTTTTCTAACTATTGAGTTAATAATTTCCAAAATCTGATTTTTCATTAAAAATTCCAAAAAGTCTACAATTACTTACTGGTTACCAATAGTTAATGATTTGTTTGATTTCAATTAGCAACTAATTTATAGAACTCTGTACAAACTGCTCAAAAAAAATAATATGGAAGGCTTATGCTTTATAGTTGTTGAATTTTGCTTATAAAGTAAGGATTGTTAACTATTTTTGTTATTGATAGATATTTAATTGTATATGTACCTATTAAAATATCAAGATAGTTGGATGGATTAAATAATAATAATAAGAAGAAGAAAATATGTTTTAGTAGTTAAATTTATGTTATTTAGCTAAGTTAGTTTATAAACTAAACTTAAATTGATTATATTCATGTTTTAAGTGTTTATACTATACAGGGTGGGGCACTAAAGCGGCCAATTTCAAAGTCCAATTATAAAATATAAAATCAAATGCAAAATACTTAATTGTTAATGTATTTTAATGAAGTACATAACACGCCATATTATATTTTTTAAATCATTTTCTCAAGATGACCACTATCTTTTCTTAAGCACTCTTTTAATCTTCTTCGAATTGGATGATGCCACTTAATGTTAAAATAAACACGGAATGAATGCTGAGCAGACACTAACTGTCATTATTTTTGTAAAACAATTTTATCATAAAAGCATGTTGCTTACCACGCTATATTTACTAAATGGTGTATTGTTTTTTAAAGTAATTATATTTAGTTAACATTATTATCATTATTTTTTCTTTTTATCGAGAAAACCTATTTTTATAATATTGTACGTTTTCCTTCCCCACTCTGTATTATATTTTAGTCAGTTCACTGACATTTCCTTGGTAGCTCATTTAGTATTTTAATGGCTCTGCTGGATAGGTACCAAATAAATATTAATTCTAATATACACACAATACAATATGTAAAGCTTCATATTTTAGTTTATATTGAGCAACCTATTTAGATTTTCTTCAATGTTTTCCACGTGTTGTTTGTAAGTGATATTCCAATGGTTGTATTTATATAACTCAAGATTCTAAAACTGCATTCCTTTTTTCTTTTGTTATCACTTATACCTTATATATTCATTAAAATATTTATGGTAATATAAACTTTGAATTGAATTCATAAATTCTTATCCATTAATATTAAAGTTGTAAGAATATGAGAATAATATGCTCAATTGATATTTGTTTTAATAAAAATGTTTAGCCATTCGAAGTTCTTGTTTCTTATACTGACTTAGTGGTGGTTTTGACTATATTTTCAAAAAAAAGATTTTTTTTCTGAGATTCTTTAACTTAAACCAAAACAGTTTAAAAAAAAATAAATAGTGTATGAACCATATAAAATAATAACTAATACCTAAGTTTAGTTAATATTATATTAAATATAAACCAAGTAAGTTCAGTTCATATTCCAAATATTATTAAACCAGACCAATTCAAAAGGAGTCTACTTTCCACTTTTTACTCTGTGAGTTGCATGTTCATTTTTTATTCATTTTTTGTGTTTGTATTTATCTATATAAAATTAGCATGCACAATAAAATTTAGCTTCATTGTGAAGTCTATATCAGTGCTTATTCAAAAAAAACCATTATTTTTAAATATCCCATATCTTAAAACATTCGTATGCTATCTGTGTGCACACTTCAAAAATTTCTATACACTAATCACTTACCTTTCCAAAAATAAATAAAAATTAGTGGTCCTATGTAAAATAAAATATTTACAAAGGTTTGAAAGTTATCTTAGATTAGTTGAAGAATATTTAATCAACTTAATTATTTTAAATTGAATTAACTATAGTAGCTACAAAGTATAACATTTATAAATTATTTGTTTTTATATGTTAAGTAATGTGCCACCTCACTTGCCTCGCTGCCAAAAACCACCACTACAATTGACTTAAAATATATTAAATAAATGTGATGTATTAATTATTTAGTAACATTTCATTCTTGACTTCCCATAGATTTATAAATAACATGTAAAAATCACTAAATAGTTCATTTTCATATATTTTTTAGAAAATATGGGTACTAACAATTTACTGTGATTAATGCTTTTTTATTTTATGTGAAGAATGGAATAAATAAAGTATTATTTTTTTATGCATTACAATTTTTAAATATTACAACAAAGATAACTTCTTGACAACTACATTCAAGTTAAAGCAAATAGTACCATTTTGAGTAATTTAACGGCTAAAAGTATTTTCTAATTAAAAATAAAATATAATTTTTCCAATTTTTATATTTTAAGTAGGTAGATACCACAAAAATTGTTTTTAAGTTATAAATGTTAAAATGTATATTTAATTTATTTTCATTCAATTATTAATTAAACATTTCAGACTGTATAGCATATATATTTAATTTAAAAATGGTTAATGTGTCAATAGCAAAGCTTTGTTCTCCAAATTATTGAATGTATACTAATGATGTGTACTGTATCTTATGTTTAAAGTGGATTACGTACTTATATTTATTCAACAACGTTTATTAATATTTAATATCTTTAGTGTTTAATATTGTTAAATGTGTTGTTGCAAATTATAAATTGCAATCAGTCATTTATTTAGGTAATTGAAGTATGTATTTAATATAAATATTTTTTGTAGTTACCACACACAGTGTAACTGTTTTAACTTTGAAAGCTTTGTCTTGATTGACAAATGTTTTTAAAATTTGATCAAGATATTTGTACTTATTTAACACGTTGATGGACAGTCTTGTGGCCGCCGTCGAAAAAAAACTATCCTTAAAACGACTCTTTTCATTACTGCCATAGCAGTAATATTTTTAGTACTGCTATAGCAGTACTGACCTCCGACATCACATTTTCAATTTAAAAATTACTGCTATAGCAGTATTACATTTAAATGTTCATATTACGAATTGTGTATCCTGTGTTGTGCCAATCAAATGAAAAAAAACATTAACTGTATATATCGATAAATATTATCGAAATATAAATTATAACTTATCAGCTGAAGAATAAAAATGGAAAATACATGTATTTGTATTATAAATACGTGTATACATAAGCTAAAAATAGAGTGCCCGATGGCCCGATGAGATGTCCGGGGTCAGTAAAATTTCCTTTCTCATAAGAGACCATTGAAAATATCACTGCTATAGCAGTAATGACACTTTTTGGACGGTTTTTATATTACTGCTATAGCAGTAATATTTAAAAACGACCCCTGACATCAACATTTAATATTACTGCTATAGCAGTAATATCGGCAACTGTCCACCAACGTGTTAATAACTTTCCTTATAAAAATCTATACATTTTATGTCTTCATAATCCGTCCTCTTATTAGTTTTATTATGTTAAAATTATTATTATTGATAATTTTTGATCTCTATGGTAATTTACGAAGTACTTAAATTAATTGACTCGATATTGTAGGTAAGTATTGTTTAACTGTAGTACATATTTTTCTGTTAGTAACCGTTATTAATGGTGTATTTTCACTATTCGGTGAAAAATTATTATTTTTAGTTAAGATTTGTCAGTTTTATTTTGTAATATTTTTTTAACAGTACCTAAGATAACATAAACTAAAAAATATCTCATATTTAGACGTTTGTTGAATAAATTAAGTAGGTAACACAAAATGGGAGTTATTTCTACTACTCTGTATTTTGATGCTAGAAATGTGGATCCTTATATTAATTATTCGGTACCTATGTAAATAATCTTTTATTTTTGTTATTAAAAAGAAAAAAATAATAAAAGTAATGTAACCCACATTTAACTTGAAAAATATTACGAACTTGCTAACATTCTTGTATTTTTAAATTAGATATATTAACATAAACATGTTGTTGAAGTTTGAATGAATTTTTTGTGTTTAAGGTTTGCTCTAAGTATGTGATTACTTATTATTATTATTATTATTATTATTATAATTAATATAACTTTGTTGAATAATGTTGTTGTATTAAAATAATTATGTTTGGTTTATAAAACCAGTGTTAAAATTTATTTTTTTTCACCTAAATGTTTGCAATTACCTTTTATGTTGCAAATACAAATACACATGATCCCAAACCTTATAGTTAACCTATATGCAAGAATAAAC